AAAAAAAAAAAAACTCTTAGGAATGAGATTGACCAATTTCAATCATTCAGCATAAAATTATTCTTTTTTAACCCAGCTTAAAATTTCAATTACTTGTCATGATGTCAAGTAATATTACATGATTGTAATTATCTAAATTTGACATAGTAATCCAGTGCTTTTTGCTAGTGGACTTGAGACATGGTAATATCGGCTCAGCATATGAGGACATTTTCAGCAAAACCTAACAGGGAATCAGTAGAGTTTCTCTGAGTGGTTATATGAGCAGAGTCCTGATATCCATGCATGGCAACTGTTAAATATACTGAAAGAAGGGCAGGCTGGGAATTACAGCTGACATGTAATTCCCTTCATGAGGTTTATTAAAGTAAAGGGGCCTCTGAGTCATGACTCAGGCCCTGGGCTAACAGCTACACATTAGCTGTTTCCTTAAAGAAGCTTTTCAACCTCCCTAGTGTTTTAAGAAGTTAGCACATCTGTGAATTAAAGATCATATTTGATAACAGTGTGAATCTAAATAAAGTCATAGATATCAAGAGCTAAAACCTAGGCTATCATAAATCAAATACAAATTAGTGATGAGATGTGATCCTTCCTAGTGTTATTATTTTTGGTATTAAGGGCAAATTGGATTTCCTTCAACTGAATGCTGTTATTTCGTGCTCAAATAACTTAAGACAAAAACTGTGGCTTATCAAAATTAAACAAAAAAGTTGCTAAGCTGGAGTGGTGGTAAGAAGATGAAATATGGTGACTTCACTGGTGTGTGAGCCTCACTCCCCTCCATTGAGCTCAACAGAAGAACCCATTCATGTCTTCAGCTGAGTCCATTGTTCTTTCCAATGTATTGACATTTAAAGTCTTTTGGATGAAGTAACGGATTTTGAAGAGGTTATAAGGCCAGTCACAGTTCTGAGGAACTTTGGATATCTTATTTATGTTACCATGACAATCTCACTTTAGACATTCTTCATCTACATGATTGAAGTTAAATCCAAGGAGTGGCAGGCCTGATCCTGAACCCAGGGTGTCCATCACGACCAGACCACGTCTTTTTGTTTTAACTTGATGAGAGATATGAGTGAGGAGATAACACTGACAAATTCAGGAGACTTTCAATCTACAGGTAAGTCAGGCACATATAAAGGTTCAGTGGTCTTCATAAAAGTAGACTTTTGTCATGTGTGTTTATTTTTTCCTGGTATCCTTTGTTGTTGTAATGACTTAAGATGTAACACTGCTCTTTGGGACTCATAGTTCATTGTCTTATCTCTAAGTAGAAAAATGTTTATTCATTCACTCATTCTTGGTCATATTTGTTTTTCTGGTCTAGTTTTACTGTGAACAAGTTGTCTCTAAAATTAGTGTGTACATCTTAGTCTGTACTAATTCTACACATATGCTTCCATTTCTGTTGGGAAAACACCTAGGAATAGAATGTGTAAGCCCCAAGACAGTCATGGGCATGTCTTTGTGCATGTGCTGGAGGAGCCCAGCAGAGGACATTGGATCCCCTGGAGCTGGAATTTCAGGAGTTTGTGTCTGGATTTGAGGAACTGAATGCAGGTGCTCCGTAAAGACAGCAAGATCTTTTAATCACTGAGTCATCTTTCCAGCTGCTACTTGGCCCTTTTTCAATGACTAGTGGGGATTGATATTTTAACTCACACGTGGTTATCCAGATATCTTCTTTAGCATGTGTCTTTTCAGTTCTTTTGCTTAAACTTTTCTTGCCAGGTGTTGTTCATTAAATATGGAGATCTCATATATCCTGAATAAAAGTCCTTTGTCAGATGTAGAAAATGCAGCTGTTTTCTCTCAGTCTCTGGATTGTCTCTTCTTTCCTAGCACAGTCTTTTGAAGACCCAAAGTTATTAATTTTTAGGAAATCCCCTGTGTTTTCTGGTAGATCATGTTGTTAAAGAAATCTTTACTTATCCCAAGGTCACAAGGAAGTTTCTCCATGTCCCACTCTATCCTTTGAGGCTTTCTCTTCTCTGATCCATTGTGTTACTTTGTGCCAATGGGTTCAAATTTGATTGAAATAATTTCTCACACATACATATTCCTTTCTTCCAGTACCATTTATGAAAATGATTGTCTATTTTGTGTCTTTATCAAAAACTAATGGCCACACAGATGTGTATCCTTTTTTCTATTCTTTCTGTTTGTCTTTACACCAAAACCATGCTGTGTTGATAGCCCCAGCTTTAATGTCCTTCGGCCAGGCGATGCTTAACCTCTGAGAGAATTCTTTCCCAAAGTTGTTCCATGTGTTTCAGTTTCTTTACATTTTCATAAGTACTTCATAAGTAGTTTTCCAATATCTTCCAAAACAACAAAAACCAAAACCTGCTGAGAATTCTTTGCTGGGAATTACCATAAATCTGTAAATTGGTTTTGGTAGAATTAATAGCTTAGCAGAACTATGCCTTTTAAAGTTTGAAAACATCCTTTCCATCTGCTTATGCCCATGTTTCTCTCAGCAATGTTTTGTCATCCTCAATGGACTGATATTGCATGCCTTTTGATGTGTTTTTCATAAGTGGTTAATACTTTACCGTATCTCATATTTTACTTTACATTGATAGCTGCTAGTACATAGAAACACTATCAGTTTGTATTCATTGGTCTTGACATCATAGTCTATCTTTAACACACTTATCAGTATTGTAGACCTGCTTGGCATTTTATAGGAAATAATATCTTGTGCATTCATCCCACAGAGTCTCAGGAATTTCAAACCAGGAGCAAAAGGAGATTTTACCCTTCTCAAGTCACCAGCCTTCGTTTGATGATTGTAGTCTTCCTTTCGGTGATTGTAGCCTTGGGAGCGTCTTTAGCAGGTGGGTTCCCCCATTGTTATTAGGAAGTCTTTTGTCCTGTGTGTGTCTATCATGCTTAGTCAAGTGTTAGGGGTGATTTCAAGCCACACTGGATCCTGATCTTCCTACAGATGCTTCTTGACTTCATCTCAAAAAGCCCATTATAAACTGGGAAGTCATGGTAAGTTCCAGGCCTTCTATGATGAGGTCAGGAGGTGATGATATCCATTCAAGCTAGTAAATTTACCAAAGAGGCTTCAGTATTTTCAGTAAAAAGTAGTTAACTACAAAAATACACTTCCTTGTGGGATGCCACAAAAGTTATAATTTTATACACAACTAGAAATGATACATAGTTCTGAACAGAGTAATGAGCATTACTTATGTATATATATATATGTATATATATATATATACATATATATATCCATCATTTACAATATCTTTTCATGTATAATATATCATTTGTAATTTTGAGTTACCCAGTGAAGTGGGAACAGTGCTGTTGTCCTTTTTCCTTGTAAGGAACAGATAATAATATTGCAATCTATAGCAGCGTCTTCTGACTCATTTCTCTTTATGGCACCAATAATGTTGCATCTTTGTGAATAAGTTCATTTTCTCGGTTTTATATAGATGACATGTGTCATCCCATTCTTGGCAGAAAGCTTTGCCCAGGCCACCTGCCACTATGTGAGGACCATCGTCCCTCACAAAGTGCTTATGACACCCCCTCAGTGGAATTCCCACTGACTTCCTGCTGGCTCCCTGGTTGGAGCTATGCCCAAAGACTTTCTTACAATCTGATCACAAAAGTGTGGATAATTTGTGTAATCCAACAAAAGGTCCATAATTCAATTTCCTGATTTTCTCGCTGCTTAACTAACTTATTGAACAGTTGTTATCTCAGATTCCCCATCAATAGATAATTTGATTTGACTAGATAATTTTTACTGGCACTTGTTGCACTAAATGTCCCTGGTGCTCTAAAATTGTTCAGCAAAAGTTAAGTAAGGAATACTTGACACAATTCAGTAGAAGAAAAATAAGCGTAGCAAACTCATATATGGGTTGAATGACTGATTTTGTGCTTTAGAATAAGCAGTTTTCTTATTCAATAGATGTTGATACCGGGGCTAAAATGTATACTATGTCTAAGTTCTCTCTGGACACAAAGTAAAAAATATCCCTGTACTTAGGTATATTTGAGAAGGATGGGCACATGACGGTTATGTATCCTCAGGTGAAGTAATTCTCTATAGACATGAGGCTTTATAACAAGGATACAGTCTAACTTAAGAGTCATTAGATGATCTCATGATTACACAAACATCATTGGCTGTATTTACACAAAACTACAGGGGACAGGTGAGTCATCACTGTAGCATCTGATGCAGTTACAAATAAAGTAAATACAGAAGACTACTGTAATATACGAAGTCTGCTATTGACGGGATTGTGTGTGTGTGTGTGTGTGTGTGTGTGTGTGTATTGTAGAAAGAGATGTGTATACATTACACACACGTACATACAATACTTACATACATTGTTATATGTTGCCAATAGTTAAGGAAAGATCATCAATATTAAGGAAGGAAATAAGGAGGCAGAAAGTATCACTATGACTATGATATATTAAACTCAATGCTTTATTAAAAGCAAAGAGCATAGAAAATATTATTGGTCAATTCTACAGGACTGAGAGAAAGGAAGTTCCTAGGTAAGGTCATGCTTTAACAAATATGTCATTGCAATACTAGGCCATACTTGACAACTAGATTTGTTCATAGTGAGGACCTAGCATTGTAGACCATTTATCATTATAAACAAAGGCTCAGACATTATTTGCTGTATTACCTTATGGTATGTGCATGAACTACATGAGCTTTGGTATAAAGGAAGTTATACCTTTATATAATGAAGCATCTCCAGAATGGAGCATCTCCAGAGAGAATAAAGCACCCAACATAATTACAGATCAAATCCTGATATAATATTATTTTATTTTTTGTTAGGTCTAAAGAAAAGTATTGTAAACCTAGCAAAAGAAATTGCACTCCTGCTTTAGGTATATTTCACTTGGTTGTCTTGAGACCTTAAAATTTAACACTATCTTGCCTGTCTTAAATGCCTACAGTAGTCTCTGTATCACCTGCTCACCTCTCAGCCACATAAACTGCCATTGTCTGTCTAGTATGTAAAGATATGTCAGAAAAAATGAAAAACATGTATACTATAATCCTCACTTACAAAATAGAACTGCCCTCAACATGCAGAAGTTCTCTCAGTGATATTTCTCTTAGAAAGATTCCTTCTGGATATTTTCCTGAATTTATAGTGATTTGTTCACTAGTTCAGCACAACAATGGAGGAAATCATGCCTACAACATATTAGTGAAGGTTAATGCCAGGCAAACAAGCTCAGCCATCTAGGAAGAGCCTTGATGAGTAATATCATCAGTGACTCGAGTGGCTTCTATCAAGTGTTTATTTCAACCTACTGAAGTACAACAATTTAATGGAAAAAATAACAGTAAAAATACCATCCCTAAAACTTTCAGATTGAAGAACCAAAACCAGTCTCCAAATTGTATTCATCTGGAGAGGAAAAAATGTTTAAAATTATATTTTCCTATGTCATCAAAAGGAAATTCAACCTTCAGATCCTTCTGTCCTTAACATTCTGTTAAATCATTCTTAGTTGAAAAAAAGAAATTTCAAACCGATCATACACGATGCCTAGATGACTGGATTGGTTACCAACAAAAGTGCTTCCTTTTTTCTGAAAATACAACGACATGGAAAATGAGCCAGAGCTTCTGTGCCTCTTACCAAGCAACGCTCGCAGTATTCAACAGCACAAAAGAACTGGTAAGACAACAGCAGTCATTTTCAGAGGTTATACCTAATCTATGGAAGACACAAGTACAGTAGAAACTATAGAAATGATTGTGCAGTGCAGGGAAGACCACTTTTAAAAAATCATTAAAATAACATTTATTTTTCTGTTATTTACATTGGTGTTTTGTTTGCATGTATGTCTATACGAGGATATCAAATCCCCTAAAACTGGAGTTATGGACAATTGTGAGCTCTGAATGCCCAGGTCCTCTGGGAGAGCAGCTTCTTAACCACGAAGCCATCTCTCCTGAGACCACTTTTTATATGAGCATAAAACATTACAAATAACTTCACCACAAAATATTTTAAACTTTGTCAATATTGATAATTGTATAAAGAATTTTTTAAGTAATGGTTTTGACAATCTAGAATGTAGAACAAGTATGGAGACTAATTTCATGAAGAATAGAATATGTAGATTATCCTTTCTAAACCAACTAAACACAAAAAATAAAAAGTCAGCCCAACAACTGAAATAAGGAAAAAGAAAAAAAAAAGACAAAAAATGCACCATTAATAAATCGAAACCTAAACCTAGCAGCAGTTGCAATAAACAGTCTATTTAACTCATTTAAATGTATTTATTTAAACTTTTGATTTTACTAAAAAAGAAAATCATCAAGATGATTCTCTAAAAGCAACAAAGTGGAGCAAGAGAGACAGCTCAGTGGTTCAGAGCATACGTTGTTCTTACAAATGACCCAGGTATGGTTTCCAACACCTCAGGTGGCTCACAAGTGCCCTTAACTCTGGTCTCAGGGGAACTGATGCCCTCTGGCACCTGCATAAGATCCATAAATGTTGATTCAGGCACAAATACATATACATAAGAAGTAAATAAACAATACTGATTTTTAAAAGAAACAAAGTAAAGTGGCTGCTTACAGAGGCATGTCTGAACACGTGTGCACATACTCACAGGAAAATTAAAGAACGTGATAGTGAGAGATATGAAGAGCAACTACCAGCAATTGGCAAGCCATACCAGACCAATCACATTAGAAAATAAGATGCATCAGAATAAACTATAAGGCAATCTGAAATATGAAATTTGAATGAAATTGTAACCACTCATGCATTTAGCCACTAACCAAAATTCTCCCATAGTCAAAGGAACCAATGCTAGCAAACACACCAGCCCACACGAAACAGATTATCCCTACCTCATAAAAAGTCTTCTAGCTGGAAAGGTTGCTGTGTAATAAACACAGGCGCCAGGTGAAAGCAATGTGATCCCTAAGGTATTTCCCAAACAAATCTGCCCATAATTCTATAAAGAGTACGTTGAATGAATTGAATGACAATCTGAGATAATGGATCATTTGATGTGTGTCCTGTAAATGCTCCTTACTGAAGAACTTCCTGAAGCGATATGCAGACCATTCTCATTATTGGATTGGACTGAGTCGAGAAGAAGGCACAGAGTGGCAGTGGGCAGACGGAACCATATACAACAGTAGGTGAGTTCCAGTTTACATAACAAAGCCTTGGCGTAAGCCCTTCTCCATTACAGACAACGCCATCCTCTGGGAAGCTTTCTTTGTGGGGAAGTCTAACAGACATCAAAGGGGAATGAAGTCATCATTAACACAGTAATTTAATACTTTCAATATCCCAAACACATTGATTCTTAGTCCATGTGTATTTTGACTTGGACAGACATACCAAGAATGAGTATGTTCGAGTCCATTTTGCAGGTGAAACCCCTGACCCCACAGATTTTGAATACACAATACTCTGTAACACAAAATATTTGACAAAAAAAAACCTCACCCTTCCCCCAATATATAGGCTATAGGATTGTGTTATGGTTGAGTGAAAATGAGGGCAGGACCAAAGTATGACTGAGGAAAAGGATTGCAAAAGGTAGATATGAGGGAGAACAGCTGGAGGCATCTGGAAGAGTCCAGATTGAACTTTGCCAACAGAATATATTGGGCCATGAGAGGAGGAGGAATGGTGGAGAGCAAGAAAGGAAGAGAAGAGAGAGAGAGAGGAGAGGGCGGGGAGACAGAGAGCAAGCCTGCCAAGAGCCAAGAGGGCACAGAGCCAAAATAGCTGCATTATATAGGAATCACAAGCTGGGGAAGGTAAGAGAAGCCCAGCCCCTGGGCTGGAGAGGTCTAGGTTAGGGGGTGGGATGAGATGTTCTGGGAGTAGCCTCGGGTCCTGGGACTTGTTCAGGGTTTCTTTAGGACCTGAAAGTGGTCATGTCTCCTTGTATAAAAAAGCGACATTTTAAGTCAGAAAAAGAATGAATTCAGTTTGATTGGTAGCTAATAATTATTGTGATAGTAGGTGATGAATATTTTTCTCTGACACTTCCAATTAGCACTTATTAATTCTATGGCCTTTTCTCTATGTATTTTGTTCTAGGATTAAAATCACTGGTAATGGACAGTACGCATATCTACACAAAAATGGCATTAGCAGCTCAAGCAGCCATTTGTTTCAAAAGTGGATTTGTAGCAAATGAGATGCCTACACACCAAGAAATTAAGGCCTCATAGATGTAAGATATTCTACATTAAATGTAGCTTTAATTCTTCCTGGGAAAAAATTATATTAATATGATCATGCATGAAATTCATGCTTAGAACTGTTCATTCTCGTCTCATTTCAGATTTGATTTCCAAATCTAGGTTTTGTAAATCTGTCCAATTCTTGACAAGCAAGATGACTCTGTTGTAACCTATTTAAAAGTTTCTTGGCCTGGGGACAGCTCAGTGGTAGAGCGTATACTTGCTTACTATTTGCAAGGCCCTGAATCTTACCTCAGGTTAGACATATAAACATTCCAAATCTTATTATCAAATGAAAAATTTCATAATTAATATATTAAGTGTGAATGAAAATTGTCAACATATTTAATATATTCAAAGAATATATTAATTCCTTAAATTGATTTGAATTTGAATTGAAATTAATCTCATGTATAATTACCTCCCAAGAGCTCTAACTTGTCTGGATTTTAGAGGGTTTTCTCCTAACTTTTATGATCAATACTAGCAGTTAGCTATCTTTTACTTATGCAATATTTGCACTATTTTTTAATACAACACAAGTATGTAGTATAATTGACGCACAAGAATTTTACAGAAAACAAAATCCTTGCACTGTGGTCTTTCCGTGAGAGGCTTGCCAGCCTGTAAGTAAATGAATTGTCTGAATTAGCACCTCTCTCTACCTGTGACTGCCCAGGGTCTGTCACCTGATGGGCACTGGGAGTGGTAAGGCTCTAGCACTTAAGGGCGTGTTCTGAACTTTGCTGTTCAAACCTCTCCTAAGACTGAGGGAGATTCAGTGTTAAACATCAGCCTCTTCAGAGGATAGCCGTTCCATGCTCACTGAGGTTAACACTGTTTCCGTACAGCACACAAGCCTTTCTTAAAGTTACTGTGAAGCTGGTGACATGCGTCCTATGGCTGAAATTTAAATGGTCATGGGATGAAACCCAGAATGAGGCAAGAGCTTGGTACCTTTGTCTGCCATTGCTGACCACCTTAGCCTCTGTCTGTCTACTCTCTTCACCCTCATTCTTCCTTCCTTTCTTTTTCTTTCTATGCTTCCAATATCCCCACTGCTATAAGTGTTCCTTTGATTATTTCAGTCCCAAAATGAATAGAGGAGATTACTCTTCACAGTTAAGTACATCAAGTCAGTAAGAGACTAAAAAATGCAATGTCCTTTCTAGCCAGAACCCACCATGGCACATGGAATAGAACTCGGGAATTTGTTCCTTGCATCTTTATGCAATCTAGTTATATTGAATAATTACTCCACCATTCTCCTGTATCAGGAATAAACTAATAGGCTACAAATGGTAGTGGTGGAATCTTAGAACTAAACTTATAAATAATTCAGAAAATCAGAGACTCAATAAGTGTGTGGCTTTAGTGTTTTTACCAAATACTACAAGATGTACAAAAACAAATTTGTCAGGCATAAGAAGTGGTTAGTGGCAGAGCATAATGAAATAGCCAATGAAATTATCACAGGAAAAATATTTTCAGGTGGATAAGTAAAGAAAAAAAGAATGAACAAAAGGAAGAAAGAAAGAAAGAAGGAAGGAAGGAAGGAAGGAAGGAAGGAAAGAAAGAAAGAAAGAGAGAGAAAGAGAGAAAGATAGAAAGAAAGAAAGAAAGAAAGAAAGAAAGAAAGAAAGAAAGATTGATTCTTAGGCAGACAAGGCAGTTTAGGTCTATAATTCAATACTGGGGAGGCGAAGGCAGGAGGATCTCAGGTTCACAGTCAATCTGTGCTATATAAAAATAACCTGGGCAGCGAGGCAAAACAAGAAAAAAGGACAAATACATTTCTACGCAGAAAATTCTCACCAGAAACAAAAGGCTCTTGTGAGGTTTGCACAATTTAAAAGTTGTGAGTTACGATGGCCTAGAAACATTGGAATGATGGAGTTTTTAAAACTAAGAGTTCAGGATGGGAGCAGACACTATGGACAAAGTGACCACCATGATCACTTAGAGAATTATAATTCAGGCTGAGTGGGTCAGCTTTGCTAGGAAATTACTAACTAACTAGATGGGTTTGTGACTCCTTCAAATGTGACCCCTCAGCTTTAATGATTGTTCTTGTGCTTTTCTGAATTTTCTCTGAATTTTGGTAAAACAAGGAATTTTATATAAACTTTTGTTGTTGTTGTTGTTGTTGTTGTTGTTGTTATATAGAGGAAAATACAATGAGGGTAGTACCAGCCATGATGGCAGGGAGAACAGAGAGAAGCTGATGGTTTGGGGGAATCTTAGACATAAATTTAATCAACACAGGATGAGACAGACAAGGACAAATTGGCAATATAATCAAATCCCGAGTTTGTGTCTCAGTTTACCAAATGTATTCCAGCACTGTCAGCCGACACAGAAAGGAGGGGGTACTGAGACAAGCTGAGCTTCACAGGGGGGTGCATATTCCTGGCAGAAATTCAGCCAGAAGCAAGAGGTGCAGCCATGGGAATAAGAAAGCGGTCTGGGATGAACACCGGAGACAGACATCAGGAGAGCTGCAGGGATGTGAAGAGAAAGCCTAGAGGATGAGAGGAGAGAGGTGGGGGCAGGGACAACAAGCAAGCAGCCATCACACTTATTTCCATGGTGCAAAAAGGAAGGAAGGAAAGAAGGAAGGAAGGAAGGAAGGAAGGGAGGGAGGGACCTTCCTCCTTTGTTTTCTTTTATTCTTTGTTCATGTCTCTAGCTTTTTAGGAGGGGTGAGGTGGGGTGGGAGTGCTTCTTTAGGTCTTCTCTTTTCTAAGCTAAATTGTGCCTAGACTTGAATGAGTAAACAATACTATGGCTTCAGATAGAAGATTCTGTCACCACACATCTGCAGAAGTGGTAACTAACAGTGCTGCACAGTTTAGGAGATTGCTCTAACACACTATTGGATCTGCGATAATCCTCGGGCTGAGTAATGTCTGAACACAGTAAGAAAATGTTTAAATGGCTCTTTTTTTCCTTTGTGTTATAGTTTGTAATTCATATGACCATTCTGTTAGTGTTTTTGATGGTGATGTGTTCATATCAAGAACCCCTCTGTACAACTCATGGTTTTCACAGCACCTTACGCTTTTTTACACTTGTTGACACAGACTTTAAAATGTTGACTCATTCTTGTTAACTAATACTAAAATAAAAACTTAAAGAATAAATTGAGATTTTTGCTCATTTTTTTAAAAAAAAATAAAATCACTAATATCCCCACATAGCTATTGAAGGAAGTAGTGGGAAATTTTACCTGTAAATACTTACCGATAAGAATCTGGAAACGTGCATCTAAGGGTTGGAATAATGTTCTTGTTCACTGTAAAGATTTGTCACTTGTATTGGTTTAATAAAATGCTGATTGGCCAGTAGCCAGACAGGAAGTATAGGAGGGGCTGCCAGACAAGAAGAATTCTGGGAAGAGGAAAGGCAGAGAAGCAGTTTCCAGCCACATGCAGAGGAAGCAAGATGAGAATGCCTTACAACTGAGAAAAGGTACCAAGCCACATGACTAAACATAAGTAAGAATTATGGGTGTTAAGATATACACCTGGCTGACCTTGACCCCTAACGATGGGCGGAGCACGCACAGAAAACTGTGCTATGTCATCACCACATCACCTGCCACTCATTACGGCCTTGTGAGGACTCTGCGCATGCGTGAAACCTTAGTGCACATTCTCAGTCTTCCCTTTAAAAGGTCCAACCTCCACCCCTCCCTCTCTTCTTGGGTTGGCTGACAATCCAGCCCCATTCTCCCAGTCTAACAATTAAGTTGTATGAGTTTGTTAGGAATAAGCCTGAGCAATTGGCCAGTTTATAATTAATGTAAGTGTGTGTGTGTGTGTGTGTGTTTGTGTGTGTGTGTGTGTGTGTGTGAACCATGCGTGTGCAGGAGCCCACAGAATGTAAGTGCTAAAGTTAATCCCTAAGCCCCATTTACCCAAAGGCGGATAATTCCTGGAATGCTGAGGACTGTGGTTCTCGTGAGATAACAAGTCATATGCTTTTACCTCAATAAACAAGGTTGATTGTCCCAACTGCCCGGGTTGTTGAGATCACATGCAGGTGGGAGATATGTAGGCAGGAAGTATGTCATGGTGTATATTTACTCCAGATTAGAGGAAGGCGGGTAGTACCACAGGTTTGTAGAGTTTGTTTTTATGAGCACCTGACTGGACTAAATTCAGGCCCACGTCTCTGAGAATCCTGGGTATGGAGCTGGCCAGAGTTCAGTTTCCTGGCAAGTACTAAATAAAGCTTGCTTTAAATGGACAATTACCGTGACAATGTTAAAGCTTAACATCTGGAATTCCCTAGAGAGAGCAGACCCTTCACCCAAATTTTGAAGCTGGCCCTGCCTGGGCTCCTACAGTCATCCAGGAGGCATGCCCCTTAGATTCCAAGGATCTAGGACATACCTTTCAAAAGGGAAACAGCAAGCCAGCATGGTTTTCTTTTTCACGAATGCCCCCTTCTGGAAAGTCATAGGAACTTATCAGCATTTTCTGTAACATCTGGTTTCTGGTTCTGTGGGATTCCAACCTGGGGACACAAGGGTGATAAGAACCAAATATTTCCCTGTCCAGGGCAAAGTGAGACATCACATGGCCCTCTGGTTATTTCTGGTTAATTGGGAGTCCGGCCAGGGTCACCAGTTTCTTTCCTAACTTGCCTTAAGATACTGGCAATGCCCTGGTGGAGACTTGGGACTGAGAATAAACTTGGCAGGGACAGCACCTGGGCATCCAGTGGCTGGGTGTCAATGCCGAGGCTGTACAACAGAATGAGGACCTATAAGGAATTCACAACACCGGGAGCCAAGCGAAGGGTTTGGAGAGGCCCAGCGCAGGATGTCAGGCATTCTGGGAGCTGAGAATATTCAGACCTCTGGTGGGTCCCCAAGTGTCTGGATTGTGCGGGGCTGCTACTCAGGGAAAAGAGGGGCCTTCTATTTGTTAAGCAAAGTTCTTTGGTCAAACTAGTGAATCTCTGGATGATTTCAATCGTTGATGTCATTGTCTTGTGTTTGCTGCTGTCCTATTTGCACTGTGTCTTGTGTTATGTCTTACCTGTTTTTCATGTGCTCTGAGAAAAGAGAAAGTTGCATCTGTTTTATGTGTGTGGCTGTGGCTGTGCTTTCTGTTATGTCCATAAACTTTGTATTGCGAACATGGAGCTAAGGAAGAAATGGGTCAGGCTCGGTTTAATTATGAATTACAGCATGTTTTGTTTCTGACTGTTCTCCTTTAAATGTGTGAGTTTCCACCACCCCCATGGCTTTTTTGACAGCTGGGGCTCAGAATTTATCTCTGAGCCTTCTGGTCTCTGGGTTTAGTTCACAGTAGTTGTAAACTGGCTTTTGGATATGGATAATATTAAAGTTATTTTATGCTGTTCTACTTAATTGAAAATCTGTAGGTGGAGTTTTCTTGTCCCAGATCCTAAATAACCACACAGATACTTATTGTGAGCTATAAATGCTGTGTTGAAGGCTTAGGCTTGTTACTAGCCACCTCTTACAACTTAAATTAACCCATATTTCTTATCTATGCTTTGCCACATGGAAGTACCTTTCTTCAGCACAGCATATTCTTGTCCTGCTTCCTTTATATCCGGCTGGTGGCTACTTGTGACTCCACCCTTCTTCTTCCCAGCATCCTCTCTGTCTGGCTCTCCCACCTAACTTCTTCCTTCCTAGCTATTGGCCAGCTAGATCTTTATTAAACCAATGAGAGTAATACATGTCCACAGTGTACAAAAGGAGTATTCCACAGTAGAAATCTGGCTTTGGAATTGGGTTCTTTCCTTTTCAGACCCAGGCATGCTCTAAAAGTCCGTCTGGGGTCAGAGGATCCACCTGCTGCTGGGACAGGGAAAAGAGAACAAAGTAGAATAACTACAAAAGATTATTGGTTTCATTTAATTGCCTGAGACTTTTATTGAGATACAAACCTTATCTCAAGATTTGTAAGTTTATTGAGTATGGTTAAAAGTCTGTAATATGTGTAAAAAAAAAAGTTAACTCAGTAACATGGGATCGATAGTTTAAAAAAAAAAAAAAAACTATGCTTAGGTAATCTTAAAAGAGCCATGTGGCATGATGCCATTTTGGGACATAAGTAACATATGACTTTGCCACCATCTTTAGGCAGCCACATGGCTGGCAGCCATCTTTGCTAGGGTTAAAGAAGATAAATGGCATGTGATTTCCCCACCATCGTGATTAAAGATGATCACATGATGTGGGCCAACAAGGAGGTAACAATGGTTTCCAACATATTTTAGATTATGATGGATTTTTGTATGATAATTCCCATCTTGAAAACAAGGTTTATTAAAGGTAGGATTTAAAAACAACGCTTGTTTAACAAGTCATTCAAAGCAAGCCTCCAAGCAGTCACATACAAGAATGCACCTCATGCTGACAGCCAAACTTTATAATGTAAGAGTCATCCGGGTGGTGCTGGTTTTAGAGATATGCAGTCATCCTGGAGAGAAGCTGAGACTTGGCACTTTATGGCAGGGCTGGAATTCCTAAGAGATCCCAGCTGCAATGAGACCCCAGCAGTTTTGGAGATACAGGTGCCGTTGAAGGGACCAGCTCCCCATTTCGGCAGCCATGGAAGCCTAACACGTGCTTGCCTGACCTTGCCTTGGTCACTAGGAGGTCAGATGCCTGCCTCGTGGCAAGGAACCAATCAGAAGTTAGCTGGTGGTGCTATGCTTTATGGCTCTGGGTGTGCTTTACCGACAAGTGCACAGCAATGACTCGCAAAGCATAGCAACCATCCTGGGAGGGCCTATGGGCCATAACCACCAGTTGACCAATCAACACAGAGCAAGCCTGGAGGCACACCAATCGTGAGCCTGTGAGTACCCCTAGACACTCTCCTTATGCTGCCCTACAAGATCTCTATGCCATGGCTTCACCGCGTCTTTTCTAGCCATCCTCCATGGTGGATGGATGAAAGGCCAGAGCTAACATTGGGTTAGCTTGTTAAACAACTTCAATAAAGCCTCGTGCTGTTTGCATCAAGCTTTTGCCTCTGCTCCGTGATTAGGGTCATCGAGGTCCTGGGCCGAGATCCTGGGGGCCTGAGCCCCTGGGGGCCTTTCACTGTGTGATAACCACCCCAGTTCCAATGGAAAAAAAAATCTATCTGGGGCCTAGAACACGGGCTGTGTATGCTGTTGAGGGTGGGACCAAAGAGGTGACCTGAACCCCTTGAGAAAGCAGAGGATTATGAATGAAACCCAGATACTGAACACAATTGTTTGCACTGTTGCAGGTAAGTTTCACCTTGTGCAGATTATAGTTGTGCCCTGAATCACCCCTCTTGAAAAAAAGAAAAAGTTCTTTACTTTTTTTTATATTGCAGGAGCACACAGTTGAGAGATTATAAACTTGTTGTCTGTGAGATATTTCAGGATAACAATGGGGGGGGGGAAATCTGAAACATTTACTTATTCACCATGTACATGCCAGATGTCTACACAATGATGAGCAGTACTGATGATAATGGGTTCTGTCGTGTTAAAAATACCATAATTATACACATAAGATACAAAGTCTACAGGAAACTTAAAAACATGTTTCAAATCCACATAATTTATTCTGGAGTGGAAACGGTCAAAGCAGCATTCCCCGCCTAATGGCGTGTGACAACCTGAACAACAGAGTTAAATGGGGCCTGAGTGTGTGGCTCAACGGCAGAACGCTTGCCTGGAGTGCACGAGTCACTGGGTTTAATTCTCAGCACTAAAAGAATAAATACAATTAAAGAGACAAATAGGAAGAATGTTAAATGGAGACAACCAAATGTAAGAAGGTGAAGGGCCAGAGAGTCTGTCAGAGAAGAAGTGAATAAAGCTTAGATTGACGTAAATAGAGGCTTAGAAGTAGGGGCACAATGAGACAAAGCCACAGAGTGAGGAGGCTGGGGAAACAGAAAGTCCCCAGGGGATAAACAGAAGGCAGCATAGTCTGATGTGAAGTTTAGAGTAGCTGTACTGAGAGAGGGGAGCCATGGTGTGTCACAGAGCCACCCAGGACTGAGAGAGGAAGCCATGGAATGTCACGAGCCACCCAGTACTGACAATGGATTTGGCAAACAAAATATAAGTGAACAAAGAAGGCTCTCCTTGAAACCCAGAACAATAAACTGGGTACGAAGATAATGCAGATAAATCAAAATTAATCCAATTTGTAGGACTTAAGTGAAGCTTTGAATACTGAGGGAGAGAGGAGGGGAAAGTCATGGCGCACTCCAAGATCTCAGCTTAACTAGTGCAGGCAGGCTTCCGAAAATCTACTGGACCAGCAACGATAATAACATGGGAGACTGAGAGACCCCAAGATACCATATAGAGACGTCTAATGGACAGTCACTTGGCAAGGCCCAGTTTGTAAATGAGGGTTGGGAAGTAATAAAATGAGGACATTATGAAGTGGATGAGTTCAGTCAAAATGGATTCAGGCAAAACTATGCAGAATCTCCATATTTAGGAGAACAGAGGAGAGAACCCACAAAGGAAGGGCTACAACGACAGATGGAAGTGTGCCATAGACACCAGGCTAACCTTTCAAGATGAAAGGAATTGGTTAATACCAAGCAGAGCTGTTAAGAGCTCCAAAAATCTAGAGAGTCATCATTGTACTTACCTGGATGTCAGCCACTGGTTGCATGATGAAAACATTTTACTGAAGCAGGTAAAGTCGAAACCAGATTTTAAAGGAACTTGAAATAGGAGATAGGAAGTGGAAAACACAGGCACTGAAAAATTTTTTCGGCAAGTTTTTCTCAAAAGAGGTGGGAAAAACTGAACAGAAACCAGAAGCCGCAGGTGGTTACAGGACTGTTTTCTTGTAGATCCTGTAGGCTTGGTCATGATAAACAAGAAGTGAGAAAAGAGACAGAAGGAAAAAAGAAGAGGTCGGAAAACTTTGAAAGGCTGAAATTCAAACTACAGATTATGAGATTTGATTTAGTCAGAAAGGGGGGGGGCTTTATCCACAGTAAGCCCAGGAAGAGTAACAAGCAGCCATCTGTGCATACTCAGTGGTTTAAAAAAAAGTTCCAGAAATCATCTAATGGTCTCTTTTATTCTTGGAGTAAAATTAGATCTTTTGCGAGAGGTGAGTGGATTGGAGAAAGGTTTTCTCTTAAGGAACAGCTGTCAAGAATGATGATGAGATCTTGTCTCAGTGACAGGGGTGACCTCGGGAGTTCACATTTGTAGACACATATTTACACGTTATTGAACAGAGGCAGAAGAATATCTGTGAATTTGAGGCCAGCTGGTCTACATGAGTTCCAGAACAGCCACGGCTACATAGTGAGACCTTTTCTGAGAAAAAATACAAATCTCCATAGTATCTGATTCCTTTCTAGCAGGAGAAATAGCTGTGATCATTCAAACACTGTCCTCTGTAGATGAGTCTTGACAAATCCAGTGATGGTCGATGAAACACTTTTCAGAGAAAATGCCCTTCCTTGTTATCAGGGCGCAGGCATTGTCTTCAAGCTGGCCTGTAACTTGAAATCTGCAGAGGCAAAGGCCACACGTTAGAGACTCTCAAGAGGGCTGGGCTCCACTCCAGATACCCACCCTCTGTCGTGGTCTATAGGGTTGTTTTGTGTGTGTGTTTTCCTTCTTCTCTGAGGTAGAGCCTTCAGATATTACGATGTTCAGACAAAACCAGAGCCAGGTAGCCTGGAGTGCTGAGTAGCAAAGCAGAAGTAATAAGAGAAACCCTGCCTCAATGCAGGAGAAATAACTCCTAATGGTTGTCATTTCACACGGTCACTGTGGCATGAATGTGTGTGCCCCCCCACACGTAAATACATGTTTTGCAAATAAAAAGTAAATCAAATTATGAACCTTTTCATATTCCAGACCCAAGGCCCATAGGTCTCGATTCAAAACACTTTTCCTCATTGCTATAAAAAGAAAATCCTTTATTCTAATAATAATAACTAAAACATGCCTATTCTTTGGTATATTGTGACCATGCTAAAGATAGAAATACCAACTGCAGTCAGGGCTGAGGACAGAGTTAAGTGAAGACACTTTCGCCACACCTTTGTTCCACGGTGTTCAGACCAATCTTTTTTTTTTTTTCCTGTCTTAGATAAACAAATGACAACACAATTTCATGACCATGGTAGCTAATCTTGACTATTGACTTGACACATCTGGTAAGAGGGAACCTCAGCTGAAGAGCTGCCTCCAGCAGAATGGCCCATGGCCCTGATCCTGGATCATTTTCCTGAATGCTAATTGATGGAGGAGTTCCTAGCTCACTGTGAGTGGTGCCATCCCTGGGGAGGTAGCCCTGGGATATATAAAAAAGGTAGCTAAGTAAGCCTTGGAGAGCAAGCCAGTAAGTGAATTTCTTCCATGGCCTCTACTTCAGTTCCTTCCTCCAAATTCCTGCCCTGCTTGATTGAACTTCTCCCTTGACTTCTCTCACTGATGGATTGGTCAGAAAGTGTAAGCCAAATAAACCCTTTCCTCCCCTTGCTTTTGGTCATAATATCTATCACTGCAAGAGAATGCAAACTAGGATATGCTGATTTTAATTTTCCACTTCTAACTTCTGCATTATTAAATTAAATGGAGATGTAAATAGGACCATACACTACTTTAATAGCCTCTGGTTCTCTAAGACAAATTCTAAGAACCCTGTTATATTAACAGGTATCAAGCTCTCCCATCCTACAATCACCTGACCACTTAAAGCTCCTGAGAGCTACCAGTAGGGGGTGGACTATGGAGGTCTCCCAAACACCAAACACTCACAGCTGTGGGTGTAACGGTGTACCATCCAGCCAGGTCCATGTTTTCCGTGTGTCTGTAACATTCAGTCCAATCCAAAAGTAAACACCATCATGTATTTTGCTCTGGATGAAGTCCTGAGAAAAAAAGAGCCAGAGGAAATCATCTGGATGTCAGCTACAAAGAGAGACACTTCAGCCTTCTTCTGTTCAAACCTAAAAAGATTCTGATGCTCATATTTCCATCCAGAAATGCTATAAGAAGTCTTCTATATAGTGAGGAAGGCAAACCATATGGGGAGGTTTATCAACTGTGTGACTCTCGTGTACATTCTGTTTGATGGGACTATGGAGGATACAAATCACAGACTATGAAAGGGTACAGAGCAGGCCAAAGCTAGAAGAAAGCAATGGCTTGAAGGTGGCAGATACGCAGACTTTGAATGTGTGTAGAGACAGGTGAATCAAGACTAAACATCTGTTCTAACTAAAATATCTTCCCAATTACCAAGGTTCAGACATACTGCTATTAATTGGCAATATTTTATATTCTATTTGTTTTGTTATAAGGGTCTCACTGCATAGTCTAGGCTAGCCTCAAACTCACCTATCTCAATCCTCTTGCTCAGTCCAGTAAGCACTCCCATAGCTGGCTAAATTGGGAATGTTTTGATGGGTCCTTCAAACTCCTCTTTTTCTCCATGCAGGAGCTCAATATTGATAGTAAATTATCCTAAGACCCCGACTTACATGTAGAGTAACATAATCAATTTATGCCCCTGGAGAAATTGTGTATTCCCCCTGTAGCTGTAGGGAAAATTCTGTCTCACAAGTTTCATCTTAGAGGTAATTAAGATGAGAGTATTAAATTTCACTGCATAATGCCTAGCACGTGACTGTCATTCAACATATGACAGTAATTAACAGTGAAATAATTATGTTCATGACATGTACCCACATCTCCTGGTTTAGTTTCTTACCAATTCTGCTTTGTCTTGGATCACTAAGAGATGTGATTTCTTTACTGCACAGGATATTTCACTATGAATCCATGACTTAAAGTTCATGTAAAATTTGTAACACTTCCCTTGTTTCTGGAACCAGTCTTCGGGGCATGACTTTCCTGGAAGGAAAAAAAATAAAACAATATGGAAAGAAATAAGAACAAGAAAGAAGTGTGAAGACCAGAAGAAATTGTTGCATTGCTTTTAAACTTTAAAAGTTAACAACAACAAAGAAAAGGGGGTCTGCTAAAGTGCCTCAGTGGTTAAGAACACTTGCCTCTTTTGCAGAGAACCCAGTTGCAATACCCACTATCCATGTGGCAGCTGTAACTCCAGTTCCAAGAACCCAATGCCCTTTTCTGGGCTGTGTAGGCACTGTACATACAGGGTGCACAGACATGCAGGCATAAGACTCATACAAATAAAATAAGAATAAAGACATTTATTAAAAATAAAACATTGCCTCACTTTTAGGGAACCAACTCCCCTCTCACTTTCCATCAATGAACACATTTACAGTCAAATTTATTGACTAGCTACCATGCATGAAGTCTTTTCCTAAATTCTGAAAGCATGTGAATGTATGAAATATTTTCCTTACAAAAAACTTAAGACAGGTATAAAGGTATTAACTTCACATTCCTCAGTATGTAAATAAAGACAGTAAAGTTAAACTCAATAAAAATACAGAAAAACAGAACTTTAAATAACTGACTCGGGGTCGTATAACTGATTAGCGGTGGGCGGAGTGAAAATTAAAGCAGCAGCCACACATCCAAGCCGACTGCAGAAGAGATCCACGGTGGCCTCCGAGGCACACAAGGATAAATTCTCCACAGCTCATACTCTCTGTCTTAAACCCAGCTGTTCTATAACAGGGACCAGAGAAAGAAGTGCATCCTTTACCATTATCAAGATCTGACAAATTCACCTAAATAAATCTTTATTTACTCTCTCTCTCTCTCTCTCTCTCTCTGTGTGTGTGTGTGTGTGTGTGTGTGTGTGTGTGTGTGTACGTGAATGCACGAATACTCCACAGCCCTCATATGGAGGAATCAGTTCTCTCTTTCACCATGTGGGTCCCAGGGTTGGAACTCAGCCTGTCAGGATAGATGACTGGTGTTTTGCCTGCTGAACCATATGGCCAGCCAGGTAGAACAAGTTTTAAAACTACAACCATAAAAAATACTTTAATCTCTTTACAATAGATAATCACAGACTTTGCGGTTTTGAAGTAATGATCTAAGGGTGTTTAAAAACAGACACATTGGCTCCGAATGAAAAGTGCCATGCTGTGTGACATTTTGTTTGTGTTCTGAAAAATAAAGCTCACTTGTAGTCAGAGGGTGGAGCTAGCCACTAGTTAACCATAGAGATTGGGAGGACTGCAGACATAGAGACAGGAAGTGATAAGGTGGGTGGAGAGGGGATCTTGGCCCTTTTGGAGGGAGGAACATAAGCGGTAAGAAGGCACTGGTGGCCTCTTCTCGGCTTCTCTGATCAGTCAGGTTTTTACCCTAATATCTGACCCCTGATGTTTTTATCGGTAAAGAATAGTTGGATAAACGCTTCAGTGCTGTCGAAGCAGTTATTTTCAAAATCCTCTTCCAATACAGAAACTATCTTCTTCATACACTGCAAGAACATTGTAAGATAATTTAACCTCGGAGACCACTAGATTTATCTCCCTGAAAAGGAAAAATATGAATATTAAAATAAACCAATATTCAGAAATTAGTACATATGTTTTAATTGAAATAATTATTTATGCCTTAAGCTAAGTTGCAGGTATATAAAATTCTACTTTACTTAAATTTTAGTTATTTTTATCTAAGTAGTGAATATTTTTAAATGTTCATAAATATTTTAAAAACTTGATACATATCAAAGAGGATTAATGTGAAAGTAGAATCTTCCAAAAAATTTTGAAAATAAATGTTACACAAAAGCCAGCCATTGAGACTGGGAAGTTTTTCCTCAAGAAATGCAGAAATGTGTTTGTTTGTCTTGATTTTGTTTTGAGACAAGATCTCTCTGTGTACTTCAGGCTGGCATAGGACATTTGATGATCCTCCTGCCTCAGCCTCTTGAGTGCTGAAGGAATCTGTAACTGTCATAAAGGGCTTAGGGGGACCAGCAACATATCTCAGTGGGTAAGAGTGTCTGCCACCAAGCCTTCCAATCTGAAAGAACAAAGCAAAACAAAACCCCACAATTCCCCCAAGTTGTATTTGGTCCTCCACAAGTACATCTTGGCACATGCATCCACATACATGTGTACACACACACACACACACACACACACACACACACACACACACACACACACACCACACACACCATAACTCAAAAAAAAAATAAGATAAAAATAAGGGATTTCTCCCTTCCCTGACCTCAGGAATCTAGGTGAGGAAGTTGGTGAGCTAGCCTCTTCTTGTGTTAGTTCCCAGGTGCATTCCAATAACTTTTCTGTCATGAATTTGTCTTTTATCAGCTAAATTTGCTTAGCCCCAAAAGCAAAGGCTGAAAGGATAGAGGGAAAGATTCCCCTTCCTAAATGGCAGTAACATGAATCTCTTACCTGTGGAGGTTTTGTCCTGTTGTCCCTCACGAGGAATATCCATACAGCCACAATATCTGGTTTCATTATTACCAGGTATCCCCTCATTAGGCTTATCAATTAAGGAATACCTGCTCAGATGACTTACTGAGAAGTAAAAAATTGCAACACTAATTATATTTCTACAATACAAGCCTGCACCCCTTTGTCTTAATAAAATCACTACTGGATACACAAACTGCTCTTCAAGAAGGGGCTCTGATCAATAATATCTCCACCTTTTACTTTTATAAAGGACATGTGAATTTAGAGATGAGGTTTCTCCTTCCCAAGAGTCATATAGAGACACAAAATAATATTATCTAAATCAAACTAAAATAAATAAAACTTTTCTTTACCCATAATAAAGATTAAAAAAGCTAAATTTCCTTTATAGTTATTAAAATTTCCTGATGCGATGGATTGGAATTGTATGTGAGCTTATTAAGCTAGTCATAGGATCATTACACCACTTAGTGCCCTCATATGCACCAAAAGGAAAGTACTTGACACACTCCAGGTTCTCTGGAGACTGAAACATACTGTAAATCAGTCATTTATCCCAATTCGTAATAAGCCATCCTGTAAATCAGTCATTTATCAATCACTATTCTTAGCAAGCCATACTGTATCACAGTTCCTAAGAAGCCATACTGTAAGTCAGTCATTTATCACAATTGATAACAAGCAAGATCTGTAAATGGAGCAACAACAAACTTCAACTGTATATTTTTTATTTGCGTGCTCTTGACTTTAGCCATAGACCTTACATTTAATTTTGACCTAACTTTTCAACCAGCTGGTAAGTTTTGTTCCAAGTTTCAAAACATCTAATTTTGTAATACACTTAAAGAAAAGGCCAACTTTCATTAAGCTTGAATTCTCTCCCCGAAATCTACAACTTCATTTCCTACAAGAATTATGGCCAAATTCACATACTTACCAATTAGCTAAAATTAAGGCAGGACAGGTTTTCAAACTGACATATGCATAGGACATCATGAGTGATCACAGTGGGATCATTTCATGACAACAGAAGAAAAATAGTGACAGAAACCAGCATAAGGCAACATGCAAAATGATTCTGTAACTGGAGAAATCCAGGGAAACATCTGGGCAGGTAGCTTTGAATGCACTCACCGTAGATGACTAGTCCTATCACTGTGGCCACCAAGAAAACCACTGCAAAGCTGGCCAGTCTCAGAGCTATCCCATGCCATCTTGGACACTCAGGGTAATCTACAATGATGAAATTTCCTTCTATAATATTAAAAAATTTAAAATGTACTTGTAAACCTTTTATAATATAAATTGCTGAGAGAACACACTGTCTTAAGACAGGAAAGAAACCCATCATCTCTTAAGTGTAATGACTGAGATCTCTAAATGTAGCATTCAGGAAGTTCAGGCAAGAGCATTGCCAAGTGTTCATGGCCAGCCTGGGATAACAGAGTGAGAGTGTCTTTTTTTTTTTCTTTCCTCCCTTTTTGTATTTGAATTAGAAACAAGATTGTTTTACATGTCAATCCCAGTTCCCTCTCCCTCCCCTCCTCCCCTGTCCCCCCCCCAACTACCACCCTATCTATCCTATACCCTTTCTGCTCCCCAGGGAGGGTGAGTCCTTCCCTAGGGTGTCTTCAGGGTCTGTCTTATCCTTTGGGATAGGGCCTAGGCCCTCCCCTGTGTGTCTAGGCTTAGGGAGTATCCCTCTATGTGGAATGGGTTCCCAAAGTCCATTCCTATGCTAGGGATAAGTACTGATCTACTACAAGAGGCCCCATAGATTTCCGAGGTCTCCTCACTGACACCCACGTTCATGTGGTATGGATCAGTCTCATGCTAGTTTCCCAGCTATCAATCTGGGGACCAAGAGCTCCCCCTTGTTCAAGTCAGCTGTTTGCCTGGTCTTGACCCCTTTGCTCATCCAGAGTGAGACTGTCTTAAGCAAACAAACAACAACCCCACCCAAGTTTTTCTGAGATGAATATAAGCTTAATTATCTTGAAAAATTGGATTATTGAGTCTAAGCGATAAAGATACTTTTTTTTTCACCCTCATTAAATAGTCTTATGTTGATGGGGGAAGACCTTCTGTATGCTGTGAATATATGTTTCACTTATTAGTTTCTTATAAAATGCTGATTATTCAGGAGCCAGGCAGGAAGTATAGGTGGGGCTATCCGATAAGGATAATTCTGGGAAGAGGACACAGGGAGGAGCCACCAGGGAGAGACTCCATGTAGATACCGGGAGATAGGACACACCCAGGATTCTCTGGCAAGATAATGCCATGTAGAAATACATAGATTAATAGCTATTGGTTAATAGTTAAGAGACACTTAGCCAATAAGAAGCCTGAGCCATTGACCAAATAGTTTATAACTAATATAAGTCTCTATGTGTTTATCTGGGGCTAAACGGCTGTGGGACCAGGTGGGACAGAACCTCCATCTACATTATGTTGGCCATTTCTTTCTAAAATCACCTTACACAGTAAAGTAAGTTATTTAGCTTTTGTTTGCACAATGACTGAGTTACTTAGATAATATCACAAGGAATTGACTTCCAGGAAGAAACACACAAGTAATGGCAAGTAATTGAGTGAAAGTAAAACAAAACAAAAACTAATTGTCTGATGAGGTATATGAGCAAAACTAGTTTTAATCATCTTTTCAAAACAAAATACATTTATATTGATTCATGTAACAAAACTCGGGTGCTGATCATTATCATCGTACATTTTACTTTAGTAAAGACTCCCTTAATCTTCAATTCAGGAAATATATAACTCATTACACTCACTCTAAGTATATGTATAAATATATTTTATGTGCCAAGAATTGGTCTACTATACAGTTACAGGTACAGATAACTACACACTCTAGTAGGTAGGCAAATAGATATGAATAGATCATTGCAAAATAGGTAACAACTTTCTTAAGACTAAGCTAGTTTAACTTGTAATTATTAACACTGAAAGTAGAGTTAAAATTCCCATTAACTTTCTAGGCATCTAGCCAGTCATCGAGTATAGGATTCTAGATTCCCACCTTTGTATGTCCACTTGTGTTGGCAGGGGTAGTAATGTTTTCTAGGCTTCTTTACAGTCACTCTTTCTGCGTGTTGCATCTGTCCAACCATCCTGTAAATAGAATAATCCATTTTTGAAAGAAACAGAGACATCATCTAAGAGAAAAAAAAAAGGTGCTTATAAAATTGTAGCACTGAAACACAACCAACACTGTAAAACCACAAAAGATATGGTCAGTGGGAGGAGAAAGGGGATCTGTGCTTTAAACCACAGACTTCCTTTTATTAAAAGTTTTAGAGTTGCAGAAAATTGCCGAAACCTCTCAAGTAGCCAATGCTCAGCCTTCGCTATTTTTATCTTATTCTCTTTCCTTATGGAGACAGACAGATGTGGAGAAAATGTGGAGGAAAAGCAGACATGCCATTTTTACGATAAATGTGCCACAATTGATGACTCAATATTTATGATCATTCCTAATTAATCCCTTGTCCAGATTTCCCCTATTCCCTGCATTTGAAGACTCAAGTGCCTACAGCAAGGCACAGTGCGCTTATCCTTCCTATCTCTTTGGGACATGCTTGGCTCTGACAGTTTGTTACTCCTTCTTAGTTTTTGAATATTTTGAAAGTTTTGAGGCATGCTGATAACGTATTTCATAGAACGTTCCCAATTTGAAATGGTCAGGTATTTTTCTCACGATTGCACTTAGGGAATAGATTTTGGATGAATAGAAAAAGGTGAATTGTCATTCTCACCATATCCTCGAGAGGGCGCCAATCATCAGCATAAATATCGCTGTATCTATTAACTACATAGCATTTGTCAAGTGCGTTTACCATCATATTTATTCCTCTACTTGGCTCTGTTTGAAGAAATTATACAAAGAAAATCTATAAACATTCACGTGACGGCTTTCCTAAGGCTTAGTTTTTTAAATGAGAAGGGTGATTCCAGAACCGTACCCCAGGTTGTCTTGCTTTATACAAACCTACTAAACTATCTTTCAGAGCAGCTGTTCCTTTCTCTGCTGACAGCGTGAATGAAGAGCCCCCGTACGTCATCACTTGATTTCAAGAACTTTAATGTTAGCATTGTAACAGGCATCTGCTGACAACTCAGGGCTGGCTTCATTTGCATTTCCCCACTGACAGATGATGCTGGACGTGTTTATGTGCTAATTGCTCTCCTATTCGTCGTCTTTCGTGCATCTATTTGGACTATAGTCTCAGTTTTTACTTGGGCTGTGCAGTACTCAAAGTTCTTAGGATATGTGAACATTCATCGTTTTATTGTTTGTGTTTTGCAAATTTGTGCTTCTAGTTTGCAGAAATGCAAATTCCCTTTTTTCTTATTCATGGATTGACTTTTAGGCATTCTATATAAAGTCTGCTTACCAAGTTAAGTTTATATAAATCATCACCTGTATTTTCTTCTGAGAGTTTTACAGTTGTATATTTAGTTGTTTGTCTAATTATTTGTTTGTTTCAAAATTAAGTTTGTCTAAAGTGTAGAAATTTATAAATTCTTTAAATTTTTTATATATTGAAATGTATTTTTCTGGCACCATTTATTATACACATCTCTGCATACTGTTTGTGTGTGCACGCAAATAAGAGTGTGCATCATACATGTTAGCTAGTGAAAGGCCTTGTGTTTTTCTCAAAAACTGAATCAGTTGCATTGATGTGACTTTATTGGGGGAATCATATTCTGTTCTGCGTATTTATGCATCTGTTTGTCCTTTTGTTGACTTTTGTTTTATTTTGTTCTTTGAAACAGGATCTCATGTAGCACAAATTGGCCTTGAACTATGTGTGCAAACAAGGTTTACCTTGACCAAAACCTGATCCTCCTGCCTATACCATTCAATGACAGATATGTACACAATGACTTCTCTATCAGTTTGTTCTGTAGGACCATGCTTATTTGAATATGCTAGATTGGAACCTTAAAATTGTTCCTTATGGATCCTCCAATGTTTTTATTTCTTATCAAAATTGTGGTGATTTTTCTAGTTGTTTCTATATACTTAAAATCAGTTTTTCAAAATCCTCAGGATTTATTTGAGATAGTAGACCATAGACAAAATTGGGGAAATTTGATATCTTAACAAGAGTGAGTCTACCCATCCACAAATATAGAAGGCCTCTGCATTTATTGAACAATTTCATTTCTTTTGGAGTTTGTAGTTTCGCACATTTATGTCATATATATTTACATCTAAATTTTTAATGTTTTGGTGCTTTCATAAATTGCACTTCTAAATACTAAATTCAAGTTATTCATTGTTAATATGCAGGAAACAATTAGCTTCTTAACGTTAACCTTCAACCCTGAATGTTTAAAGTTCTCCCTTCTACTTTGGCGAATTTTTTGGGAATTTTTTTTATCTTGGTTTTACAGATGGTCTACCTGGACAGATCATGTCATCTGATAAAGAAACTACTTTCTAAATATTGATTGAATAAAAGAAAAAATAAGTTAATATTTCCTTCCTTCCAACAATCTCATGGTTAAAAAAAGAAATTCTTTGGTTCATTCTTTTCAAGTCGCTATACCTTTTGCTTTGTTCTCATATGAGTCCAGGACTTCTCTTTCTTCACAAAGAGCTTGGGCTTCCAGTCTAGTGTGAAAACAGGTGGTTAAAATGGATATCTTTGCTTCTGATTCTTGAGGAAGACATATTTTTGTCTCTCACCTTAAAACCCAATGTAAGCTGAAAGCTTAGATATTCAGATCTCTAGGAGTTCTATGCTAGCTTGTTTCACATAGCAAGTTCCATGCCAGCCTAGGCTTCATAGTGAGACACTGGATAAAGAAAGAAATGAAAGGACAGGGGGCATACCTTACTTACATAATATAGGGCAACACAAGCGTTTTATTTCTGCAATGATGTTATTTCTGCTCCAACACAGGACAAAATACATAGACGCAAAATTGTGAACCAGAAGGAAGGCCTGGTGACATACATCTATAATCCCAGAGTGGGAGAGTGAGACAAGAGTTCACTTAGTTCAAAGCAGAGTGAGCTACATAGCAATACCTTGTCTCAAAACAACAAACAAACAAAAAACAACAAATAAACAAACAAACAAAAAATGTTAAGTAGAAAGTACATAGAACAATCACTCTATACCCCAAATTCTAAACACATTTGGTCCTGTTAGTTAAGGGCCCTGCTCAGATTTCTAAACTTCTTCCTACATCAAAGAAAGGCAGCATGGTGGGGCAACCGCAGCCAGTTCCTTGTCAGCAGCATCAGTGAGGATGTCATTTCTTAGACACACTGTGAAGACTGTGGTTTATCTAGATTCTTATCATCTATTTCCTGTGTATCCATAATTTGACATTTTTGCAAAAAACTTAATCGTTCAGAGTAGCATGCACGAAAGTACACACAACACACAATCTGCAAGCTTGAGGGGTGGGAGCAGTAACAGAAGAATCACGTGGAAGAGAAGCTTGGCCTCCAAGGGGATTCTTCAATCTCCACTAGGAAAGACTATTTGTCAAGAGGTTGGAGCAGGCGGAGAAGCAGAGAGCAGAATAGAGCAAACTGGAGAATGAAAATCACAATGAGTTTAAAGGCAGTTCTGAACAATGCGTTTGTGCATACGAGGAAGCTCTCCTGATGCCTAGTGCAAGTTGTTAATGCAAATGTGGTGCACAGACATACAGATCAGAAAAGAGCATCCGATTCCCCGGAACTTCAGTTACAGATGGGTGTGAGCCCTCGTGTGGGTGCTGGGAATGGAGTCCTGGGTCTTCTGCAAACAAACATACACACAAAATAACAAATGTAAATGACCTTAGTCATTTTCCCATTCACTACTAATAATTCAAATTGACCTTAAGAAAATTAAAGATGTAGTCTTCCAGGTAAATCCCAATTCTGAATCAAAGCATGCATTTCTAGAAGGCTATGTGGAAAGAAAGCCCTTCTCAGAAAACCAAGCCTGGTCTGTGAAATGGAAGATAGCATCTCTCATCTACACATTACCTGATCTTTAGAAATAGTGCTAAGCCAAGCACCCTTCAGGACTTGGACTATTGCACCTGACCACGCAGATAGAACATGCCTTTTATTGTGTTGATGAAACTGCAACACAACTGAGAATAAACTATGACGTTCTAGAATGAAAATACCTGTCTTTTCATATACAGTCTATCATAACTTTGGAGGTAAGAATCTATTAACATGACATTTTGAATTGGTGGCCTTGGTGTGTTGTAGAATGTGGCACTGCATTTTGAACCAATTAAGACACAAAGCATTTTTAAGTATTTTAAGGATTTTTGCCATCAATGAAATAAAGGTTACTATGAATCCTGCCATTTGAGTGTGCGATGAGATAATGAGATGAGCCAGATATATCTACATGACAGTGAAACAAATGATTGTTCTGAACTTGCAGTGGTGTAACAGGTCTTTCTCTGTCCCACCTGTCAGCTCCCAAATAACCACAGAGCCTTCTTGTTAATTATGAATGTTCAGCCTTAGCTAGACTTATTTCTAACTAGTTTTTGTAACTTAAATTACCCATATCTTTTAATCTATGTTCTTTTACGTGGCTTGGTTACCTTTATTCTGTACTGTCCATTCTGCTTCCTCTATGTCTACCTGATGACCATGTTTTCTTCCTCCCTGAGTCCTCTCTCTTCCCAGAAGTCCTGCATAACCTCTTTCTGCCTAGGTTGCCAAGGACTGATGCCTTTGGGGCTGTGATCAGAACCAGCCAAACAACCCTGGGTCTGACCCTGAGTGGGGGAGTGTGGACAAGGGAAGACTAGCTATCCAACAACGTTAAAGAAAAGACAGACATCTGATCATAACAGGAGGGCAGGGTCAGTCAATATTGAATGTGCCCAGTTTATTGATGCATCATCTTAAGTAACCATCCAAAAGTGGGGACAATGGAAGAAGACATCTATTGTCGTGTATAAAGGACTGATAGCAGTTATTTCCCTTAATCCTAAAGATACTCCTTTGCAGCACATGCTCAAGCCTTCAGGCACCCCATACCAGCAAGTCTCACCCAGTCTTCAGGGTGGGTGGAAACTCACCCTGGCCCAAGTCTATTGTTATTTAGATAGGAACCATTCTTCACCAAGGCAGGACATGCAGCAGTTATTAGCTGACATCTAAAAGACAATAGAAATCGAGGCTCTCCTGAACTCATGGCAGGGGGGAATAGCTTTCCAAATATGGGCCCGACACTAGGTAACGGCCATTTCGCTCTTTATTAAACCAATCACAGTGGCACATCTTCACACAGTGTAAAGGAATATTTCACAACACAATGGCAGCATCCACATATACGCATTCTTTTTTTTTTTTTTTTTCGCAGGACATGCAGCAGTTATTAGCTGACATCTAAAAGACAATAGAAATCGAGGCTCTCCTGAACTCATGGCAGGGTGGAATAGCTTTCCAAATATGGGCCCGACACTAGGTAACGGCCATTTCGCTCTTTATTAAACCAATCACAGTGGCACATCTTCACACAGTGTAAAGGAATATTTCACAACACAATGGCAGCATCCACATATACGCATTCTTTTTTTTTTTTTTTTTGAAGGTAGATTCTTGGTCTCAATCTTAAACTCTAATCCAATAGATTTAGGATAGTATGTAGGATTATGTGTTTTAAACAGTAACTGCCTCAGAGAAGATAAGCACATTTATTGAAAATACTAAAGTTCGGAAAAAGAAGATTAAAAAATATGTCAAAGTGTTAGCTGCTTATTCAGACAGTTTCACCAGAAAAGGAGAAACTAGGTCACACAGGCCTGGTTCCGTCCTAGTATTCTCCCCAGAACACAATTCTACCTTATCAAGTGCTTCAGAGATTACTGAATACAGCAACCTTGTGATTATTTTTTACAGTGTTTTACCATGTGACCATGGCTGTACTTGTTATGTTTTTGTTTAAAAAGAAGAAAAGAGACATGGTAACCAGTTTATTAGAGGCCCAGCAGAGTAGGGAGACTGAGAGAGAAGAGGAACAGGGCTAATGGCTGACCGCCATGGCCAGTTACCATAGAGAGACAGAGAGAGCACCTAGGTGAGAGAGAGCCAAGAAGAAACAGAGAGAGAGCAGCAGGGAAGTTGGAACTTTTAAAGGGAAGACTGTGTGCGTGCACTGAGGTTCCACACATGCCCAGAGTCCTCAGCAGGCTGTAATGCGTGGCAGGTGATGTGGTGATGACGTAGCACGTTTTCCTGTGTATGCCCTGACTGTTGTCGGGGGCAGGGTCTGTCTCTTAAAGAGATATTGCTGGTCAGTATTAAAGCCTGAACCTTTCATTCCCACCTCTACTTATTATTTTAAAAGGTGGGGTGTTAGACATTGCAGGTTAAGGAATAAGGGTGTTAAATTCTCAAGACTGCTTCCTGCTGACGTGGGGTGCATTGACCATCTTTGGGGGACCTGAGAAAGTTGGGGTGCTGCCACGTCCTGGGCTTCCTGGGGTGGCTGGTTACTCCATCACAGTAAAGGCTGTATGGAACTCTGGTACCTCTTTTAGACCTGTAAAGATGTTGGCAGGGTAGAAGACAAGGTTAAGTTTGGAAGAAAAATTTTTCTTAGGTCCTGATACTTGAGAAGATTATAAGATGAGGAAGGGGTGACTGAGGGGTCCCAAGAACTCCCAACATAAGAGAAGGGAGTCCTAAGACCAGGGAAAGATTGAATAACTGGAGTGGATCTGACCTGTTTGTTTGGATCCAATTCAGCTCCCTGGAACTTAAAAGAATCCTTAGAGTTTGTGGAAACATAAGTATCAGACACATTAACAGCATATTCTTGTTAGAAGCAACTTGGCTGAGAGCATTAACATTTTAAAATTGACAGATTTGTTTAGGACAATGAAAAGCATCTTAACCTTGACCTTGTAGTTATGATCCTATAGTGGTATTGTAGAACTTTACAATGAACAGTAGCATGAGAAATAGAGAAATCAGGAACATCTTTCATTCTTTTTAATATCTCAACTCACTTTATCATCACTTAAGCCTTTTATCCTCAGACCTTCATAACATTAATTCATACCTTACCTTACCATCTTAGACCTTCCATTTTCAGACCTTTATACCTTCCATTCTCAGACCTTCATAAATTTGCATTTATCCACCATGTTAGACCTTTCCATCCTCAGACCTTTGTAATTATTAATTCATACCTTACCTTACCATCTTAGACCTTCCATTTTCAGACCTTTATACCTTCCATTCTCAGACCTTCATAAATTTGCATTTATCCACCATGTTAGACCTTTCCATCCTCAGACCTTTGTAATTGCTTTAAGCTGGCAAGACTACCAGTCATCAAAAGCATCAGAACTCTTGAGAAGGATAAAATTTTACCTGAATTCATGATTAAAGAATAACAGAGACTTGCCAGCAGGCTGCATGGACAGCCATCCCCCAAGGTCCTCCATCCATAGTAGCGGGCTGCAAGACACCTGCCTTCTTGCTGATAGCATGTGACCTGTGGATTACAGACTATACAAAGACTCGCCTACCATTGGCCCAAGCAACGTGGGGAAAGTCGATTCCACTGTCATCTTGTCCACGGTCTGGAGTATTTTGTAGCAGTTAAGGTGAAGAGCAGGGTTTCTCAGTGACCAGCGTTGTCACTGACTTGAGATAAAGTTTCTTCAGTGTCCATCAGTCTTCTTGGTAGAAATGGGGTGGAGCCAGCATCTGGCCTATCTCTCTGTTATAAAAAGCTTTTTAACAAAACGTTTTAAATGCCGTGTTCCCTAGATCTCTGAGCACTTGAGGGCTATCTGTCTGTTTAGTATCTCAGCAGTTAAAAATTTGCCTTTAGTTGGAGAATAATCCCATTTTGTAATAAAAGCTGTACCTTTGTAAATGGCTTACAGGATGGATTGAGTGGTATAAGTATTTTGTTAATTTGAAATAGACCTTTATGATTTTAAACTTTCATCATTTAAAGATACATGAGTTAAATTTAAGTTGTATAGACTTAGCTTATATTTTAAGTATAGTTAAATTAGACCTTTATGACTTTAAATGTTTACCATCATTTCAAGATACATAGCAATTTAGAAATATGAGATTTAGCACAGTTTAATTTAAGCTGTATATAGAGTTAGGTAAGTATACAGGTACAGAGACAACCAGGACTGGATAAGAGTAAAAGGGGGAACCAGAATGTAATCTCTGATCTGTACATTGTAGCAAATAGACAGGAGATTTAAAGGGACAGAGTAGACTTAAACAGAGGGCCCTGGAAAGGCACAGGGTTTAGTAAACAAGCCATGAGCAACAGAACCAGTGAAAGAAGAAATCACAGACAATAAAATAAAAAGCAAAAAGAATCTGACAGAAATCAAAACTCCAGCAGACAGGTTTGCTGGCACAGGCCTCTGGAGTGGGCATGCCTACAGGTAGGTCACATGGCCAAGATGGTGGTCCTCAGGTCAGTCCATATGGCCAAGATGGCGGCGACCATAAGCCCCTTTTTTGTCTGTTTACCCGCTTGTT